AGTTAATTAGTCTTAGATTTAATCTGTCTTTGAGATTCGATCTATAAGTAATTATTATTGCTGAGAACTCGATTTTACGGAACATTCAACCAAACTAACTAACCAACTTTTCACTATTTGTAATGATCCATTCATATACTCTACAATAATTTGTCAATATTTACATAGACATATGTAAATATTATATGCATTCATATTAAATCTCAGCAAAATTAAAATAAAAAATAATTCCAACGTTTAAAGTGTTCGAGGACACATTTTGTTTTTAAAAATTTTGTCCAATAATTATGTCTGAGTCAATGTGAATAGTGATCAAACACACATATATATCCATAGTTATTTTTCATATATATACATATGTGGTGGTATAGGCGTTGCCTTATTTCGATTGCACGTGTGAAGTGTTGAATGTCGATGAACAAAGATTAAGTGAAGATTAACTTCTCTCTGTATCCACCCAGCTATATTACGTTTTAATCATCGAACAAAGCATGGAATGGCAATCAAACTGTCTCTACCTCAACTTTATAGACTTTGAGAAGGCCTTCGACAGACAGCGTTGACCGCGAAGTAATTTGGAAACTACTCGAGTACTACGGCGTACAGTGCGCCAAATATTCATCAACCTTATTCAACAGCTAGCTGTACGACAACGGCACATGTCAAATGATCCACGACGGAAAACTCACTCAGCGAGGTGTTTGGAGTAAACACAAGGGTGGAGTCAGACAAGGGTGCTTATTATCACCCACGATGATATTACTAATTGTGGTGGATCGACTGGATTATGCGTCAGACAGTGGGAAACGAGAAACGGGACAGGGATATCCCGTCTGAACCGACGTGAAGAACGTAGAAGACGTGGATTTCGCGCGTGGATGATTAATGTTTGATGTCACTGTCACAAAATCGATGACTTACAAGCGAAAACCGACAAACTGGTTGAAGAAGCAGCCGGCGAAGACAGGACTCCAGGTGAACATAGACAAGACGGAGGTTGTGAAAATAACCCAAACAACAGCAACATCCAGCCAGCAGCCAATCACCGTCAGCGGGAGGGATTTGAAAGAGGTTACTTCATTCACTTCACTTATCTAGGGAGCATTGTCTCAACTACAGGCAGTGGGAACGGACGAGGATGTCAAATCGAGCGAGAATCGTGAAGGCGAGCGAGAAACACATCAACATCATCAACCTGAAACTAATCTGAAAATTTTCGTCACTCAGCATCAACAACAAAATTCGGATTTTCAATACGTCAATAATCATCAAGTCAGTCAGTTCATCTATACGGATCAGAAGCTTGGCGGGTGGGTCACAAAGAATATTTCCAGCCAACAGGCTATTGGAGACCTTTACCAACAACTTTCTTCGCTGGATCTATACTGAAGATCAGATAGCCGGGCGGGCTGGAAAGAATCACCAACAAGAAACTATGGGAACAAACAAAAAAAACAAGAACCAGTCGCCAACCAACAAATATGCAGGAGAAGGTGGAGATGGATTGGACACTCACTCGCTGAGGAGGCCGCTAGGTGACATCGCGCGCGCGTCTGGCTATTGACCAAGCTCGAGTGGAACCCGAGGGAATGGGAACCGGCGAGTGGGATCTCAGTGCAAGAGTGACATGGAGGAGATGGTGTGAAGAGAGAGGATTTGAAAGAGTATAGAGTAAAATGGATGGATTCAGGTGAAAAGTACAGCAGAAGGAAGACAGAAGTGGCAAGTGGAGATTGTGCAGTTGAAGCCCTATGTTCCACTAGGAACCCAAGGGAACAATAATAATAATAATAACTTTCACCTTGTCACACCCTCAAAAGCGCAGATGCATCCACTGCGTGTATCTTATAATACCCAATAAAACTAAATGGTTTGTTCGATAGTACTATTCTTTTAGCATCATATCTGTGTTTAAGGTCTCCGTTTTTGCATTTCTTTTTACTTTCCTCTCTTGTTTTGTGTGACACATAGAGTGAAGTGTGGTGACTTGAAGTGTTGCACATCAGTGCAAAGTTGTTCTATATTGAAACCAGTTAGTCAGCCAGTGTCCCAACCTATTGTGTGATTATATGCAAGTGTGAATGCAAGGCAATGCAGTGGCTGAGGTTTTTTCTAGGTTATTTAACTCTCAGTAGGGTCAATCATTCTAGGTCTATCTAGCTAAAGTTTCATGTTTCAATCATCTAGTTGATCCCAATCCACTACATTGACTGATCTATGTAATCGATCTCACAGTCAGCATTACATGGTATTTGGTAAATTATATCATTTTTCGACTAATTGTATCTATTGGGTTCTTAAGCCGATAGACAAAGTTTATCTCTGAAAGAGTTGGTTGGTTGGCTGGTTTAAATACCACTCTGACTAATTTCAGCTTCATTGAGAATCCTATGTAAGTCCTGTGATGTTCTTTCTAGAATAATTGACCCTGTTGAGTTAAATAGTCTAGAAAAAAGCTCAGCCATTGCATTGCGTTACATTCACTTGCATATAATCACACAATAAGTTGGCAGGGGAGGCAGGACGAGAGTATTTAAAATTAATCTAGTTAGTTGAAGATAGACAGAAAGAGAGAGAGGTTAATCAACACTGAATCTTTGTCTATTGAACCAACACTGGACACATGCAATTGCAATGAAGGAGCACGTATGCCTGATTATATGGAAAGACGAGAGACAGAGACGCATTGTGAATTCGTGTGACTAAATTGATCGGTGGCATAGCGGTTAGGACACTCGCCGACTATGCACATGGTCCGGGGTTCGATCCCCGGCCGACCCACTCCTTTACCTCGCTAAGCCAGAAATAATGCTGGTGCAGAGGAAAGGTTGGACATGAGGCTAGCAACCCCATCCTGTAAAAGTAAGCATCACTGCTACAGAAACTTCAAGCCACTAGCTTGAAGCCCTATGTTCCACTTGGGAACGTGAAGGAAAAAAAATTAATCTAATTGTGAACAATGAATTGTGCTCAAAACTTATTTAATATAGAATAACACAAGAGGGTGTTTGTACTGCCTTCGTGGCACAGCGGTAGAATGCTGGCCAACTACGCGCCCGTGTGGTTCAGGGTTGGATCCCCGGCAACAGACGCACTACTAAGCCAGTAATAAATAAAGCTGGTAAAGAGAGAAAGTTGGGCTAGCTGAGGTTAGCAACCCCATCCTGTAAAAGATAAGCACCACTGCCAGCGAAGATTCAAAAACGCTCTAGCTTGAAGGTGTCTTATGTTCCACTGGGAATGTAAAGGAATAAAAATTAAAAAAATAAATTGAGAAGTATTGGACATATTTTGGGGAAATTGTTGAGTGATATCGTCCACTGGGCCGTCAAGTTGAAACTGAATTGGGTAAACGATGAGTTGGGTGTGGGTTCCTGTTTGATATATTTATTTATTTTATTTTTATTTATTATTATTATTTTTTTTTGATTACAGCTTGATTCCAAACTGTATTTTTGATACAAGTATGGAATTTTCAGCATGGATATCAGTAGCCCAAATTTCGCAGGCCGACCATAGATATCAGGTGTGCATCGGACGGAAGTGGATAGAACCTCGGACCATGTGGATGGTCGGCGGGAGTCCTAACCACTGTGCCACCGACGCACTGTTATTAGAGAAGATTGTGTGAGGAGAGGGTGACAGCTTATGCGTGATCTGCGAGTTAGCTAAAAACAACTGAAGACGACAGGATGAAGTGGAGGAAATGTACTGTCGGATTCCCATGTTTCCACTCGGAACCGTAAAAGAATAAAAGAAGTTTGTATTATTTAAAACAATTAGTCTCCTTTATGAATTTAGATAAAGCAATAAGAAGACGTAATTTATCTGAATCGTGTGTGTAATGTGTATTTGTGCAACGCACATTTCGAACAATTTGATCACATTCCACTTACTTGTCATAAGAATATGTATGAAATTAATAAAGAGTTAAGAGGTGTGCGTCGGTGGCATAGCGGTTAGGACGCTCGCCGACCATGCACATGGTCCGGGGTTCGATCCCCGGCCGACGTACATCCGATATCAATGGTCGGCCTGCAAAATTTGGGCTACCGATATCAAATGCTGGAAATTCTATACTTGTGTCAAAAACACTGTGTGGAGTCAAGCTATTATTATTATTGTTCCCTTGGGTTCCTAGTGGAACATAGGGCTTCAACTGCACGTCTCCACTTGCCACTTCTGCCTTCCTTCTGCTGTACTTTTCACCTGAATCCATCCATGTTAATCCATACTGTTTCAACTCCTCCTCCTCCTCTTCACACCATCTCCTCTATGTCACTCTTGCACTGAGATCCCACTCGCCACTTCCCATTCCCTCGGGTTCCACTCGAGCTTGGTCAATAGCCTGGCGCGCGCTCGATGTCACCCAGCGGCCACCTCAGCGAGTAATGTCCAATCCATCTCCGCTTTCTCCTGCATATTTGTTGGTTGCGATTGGTTCTTGTTTTGTTTGTTTGTTCCCATAGTTTCTTGTTGGTGATTCTTTCTGACCTGCCCGGCTATCTGATCTTCAGTATAGATTTAGCGAAGACAGTTGTTGATGAACTTGTTGGTAATATTTAATTTAAATTAATATTATTATCATTGACTTTTTATAAAAAAGGTATTTCCACTTGTGCGTCGGTGGCACAGTGGTTAGGACTCTTGCCGACCATCCACATGGTCCGAGGTTCGATCCCTGCCGACGCACACCTGATATCTATGGTCGGCCTGCGAAATTTGGGCTACCGATATCCATGCTGAAAATCCCATACTTGTACCAAAAATACAGTTTGGAATCAAGCTGTAATCAAAAATTTTAGAATTTTAAATTTTGTTAAATATTTTCTCATGGTTTATTTTCTTCCTAATATTCCATCCAGATATTGTATCAACTGAAAATTTTCACCACGGCAATATTCTTCAGAATTCTCCTGTCGAAACACCTTAGTCGTGTCCAATGGATTTCATTGGCTATTCTGTTCACCGGTGTAGTATTAACCCAGTTAAATGATATCATGAAATCGGATACTGCGATGAATTCAACCGCCAATGGTACTTCCAATAATAATAATAGTAGTACTAATAGTAATGGCAACAAAAATCTACTCCTTGGTTTATCCTCCGTTGTACTGGCATGCAGTTGTTCTGGTTTTGCTGGTGTATTTTTTGAAAAGCTCTTGAAAAGTAGTCATAAAAGTGTAGCTATACGTAATATTCAGTTGGCATTTTATGGAGTGACTGTGGGAATTATAACAGTTTATCTTAAAGATGGACAAGCTATACATAAGAATGGATTTTTTTTCGGTTATGATTCTATTGTATGGTTGGCAATTTTAATCCAGTCTCTAGGCGGGTTGTTGATTGCAGCGACGATACGATATGCTGATAATATACGTAAAGGCTTTGCCACTTCATTGGCTATTGTACTCACTTTTATCTTGTCAATATTTTGGTTTAATTTTCAACCGACAATTTTATTCTTTTTTGGTGCTGTTCTAGTTATTATAGCTACGGTTTTGTATTCTGCTTATCCACCTGCCACTGATACTACTAATAACAAGTTTGTTAGTAGTAGAAGTGATGGTGATAATAGGTATTTTGTAAATTCACTTTTCAATACAAAGTCGCAAGTGAATAATGATTTTTCGCATAAATTATCTATTTGATGAATTGTACTCATTTCCTTCGCTATCTCCCTCTCTCTTTTTCTTTTTCTATTGTGATATTGTTCTTTCTTTTTTTTATAAAATTGTGATAATTTTCTATTCCTGCCTAAACACCGCCAAGGGCCCCCCTGGCCCGGCCCGCCTTCCCTCCATTTTCTTCGCCTCATTGTTTCACTGACTGCGGTATGTACTGTCGTCAGGGATGACAGACGGCGATTCAAAAGAAAGAAAAGAAAAAATTACTTTTGTATGTTTGTTATTTGATATTTTGTCTTCTTTATGGTGGTGTTAATTTTTATAGACCAAAATGGCTAGTGATATTGATAATAATAAATTTTAGTGCCTTTTGTATTCTTAATTTGTCGTTATTCTTTCGTCGATTTAAGTAGCATTTGTCTCAAGTTTGAATATTGACTGACTGACTGGTTTCAACATAGAAGAACTTTGTGGAGATGTGCAGCAGTCCGAGGTACTACAGTGCACTCCATGTAGCACACAAAAAAATCAAAAGAAGACAGTAATTATTATTGTCATTATTGTTTCCTTTAATTCCTAGAGGAACATAGGGCTTCAGCCGGACGTCTCCATTGCGCGTTTGGTTCTTTGCCAACGTTTTCATCGTCTGGATCCACGTCTGGCCAAATGCTTTCATCTTCTCTTCACATCACCTTCTCCTCCATGTCACCGTTGCACTGACAACCGAATCGCCGTTTCCCATTCGCGTCCCACTCGAGTGATGGCCTGCATTGCGGATGATGTCACATAGAACTTTGCACCGGTGTGCACCAGTTCAAGTCGCCACACACCCTCCTTGTAGCACACAAAGCAAGAGAAGAAAATAGAAGAAATGCATAATAGAGACAGTAAACAGAGGTGTGAGACAAAGAAAGAGTAATAACCAAGAACAATATAGTTTCATCGGAAATCATAAGTCACAAGGAGTGGATGCATCTCCAACAGCCAGCCATTGAGAACGATCAATTTGAGCCATGTCACCAATTGTTTCCAACCGTTGATTTTTACCGTCCCGAGGACCCCAACCAGCCAGGAAGTCTACACCTTCCTACGTGGCTTAAACAAACTGTTGTAGATTTCATTGACTGGTGAGGCCAAGTTTTAGTTTGACCTCCGGTAGCTTTTTTCCAGCCTGACCCTATATCCGCTAACATTGCTCGTCGAGGAAGGCGATGACTAGGCATACGTAACACATGTCCTAACCATCTCAGTCGATGTGGCTTCACAGTCTCGTCGATTGATTTCCCCCTCCTTACCAACCACTCATTAGACGCCTAACCTCAATATTGCTCACCCTATTACACCTATCAACTAACATCGAGGACAGAACGTAGGCACCTATGATCAAAGACAGCTATATCCAGGCTTTTCATATCTTCCAATCTCCATGACTAGGCCTCACAGATATAAAGGAGCATGGAGCGGACTGCTGAGCAGTACACACGCCCTTTGGTCGATGGCCAAATAATACTTTGTAGTATTTAAAGACAGATATAACTGTATTATAAACAAGGTTGTGAACTTAAATACAGGATAAGAATTCTATATTAAATACGAAAGTAGATTTTAGATATGATAGAGAAGATTTGTAGCTCAGGTGGATAATTTTGATGTGGTTTTGTTCTCTGAGCTGGATAGGTGATGAAAGCTTCGCAAACTAACTATCCAGCTCAGAGAACAAAACCACATCAAAGAAAGTAGATTTTGTCATGAAATAACATGATTCGTAGTAAGCTAGAACCCTTTGAGACCCAACGTCTCAACAACCCTGTATGGGATCGAGAAGGCTTATTTGACATTTGTCTGACAACTTACACGCCATCTCTGGCTTAGCAGACGTCATGTCCGGCTGACTGGCTGTCAACCAAAGAATGTGTGCACTGCACAGCAGCACTTCGCTCCGTCCTCCTTTATGGCTGGCCATGAACGAGACATGACCATCGAAAGAGGAAGACATGAAAAGCCTGGTTAGGCGTCTTTGATCATAGGTGCCTGCCCTCTATTTTCCGTGTTAGGTGGTAGGTATAATAGGATGAGTAATACTGAGGTCAGGCTTCGGTTGAGTGCCACATAAGGAGGTGAAATCAATAGACGAGGCAGTAAAGTTACATCGATTGAGATGGATAGGACATGGTTTACGCATGCCCAGTCTAGCCATCGCCTCCCTCGACGACGGACAATCTTAGCTGACTGACATAGGATTGATCAAGTTGGAAAAGAGAGAACTAGTACGCACATAGTGGTCAAAAGAAAACATGGCTTCATCAGTTAATCAAATCCACAACAGTTAGTTTAAGCCAGCCCGCCACATAGGAAGGTGTAGACTGCCTGACTGAATGGTTGGAGACCTAGGGACGGCAAACACCAATGGCCAGAGACAATCGGTGATATGTCTCGAAATCTTTCTCAATGGCGCAGATGCATCTATTCTCTGTGACTTATAATACCTAATAAAACTGTATGGTTCTTCGATATTGCTATTCTTTTAACCTCATATCTCCGTTTACTGTCTCTAATTTGCATTTCTTTTTATTTTCTTCTTTTGCTTTGTGTGCTAAGTGAAGTGTGGCGACTGGAACTGCTGCACATCGGTGCAAAGGTCTGCTTTGAAACCAGTCAGTCAGGATACGATCGAGCCTAAATATAACAAGAATTGAACTTGGGCACTATGATACGGTATAACTCCATCATACATTAAATTTATTTGATAAAAGCACGCGATGGTACAGTGGACGATACACTATGTTTTATTAAAAAGCTAATCCACTCTAATTGATACTTGAACTTTAATTCATCTCATCCGCTGTTATCTGTAAAGGCAGGCTCACTTGGTAAATTGTTTAAATAATCAACTGAACAATAACTTTAAGTAGTACATCAGAAATTCTAAATAATGAAACGAAACAGACAAAATAATCGATGGTGCTTAAAATAAAACTATCACATAATATGACTGATTGACGGACTGACTGATTTTAACGTAATATGCATAACATAGTATGCATGAAGAAGATTCAAACAGCTAAGAAGAAAAGGTAAAATAGTAGTGGAACTATCGACCATAACCTAAATAAGAAAGAATTTAAAGTATCTACAGGTTTAAGATATAAGAAAAGGACATCTAAGATACTACATAAGATGTAAGAAGCTGCTACAGGACTGGACTACGTCAACTCCTAGCTTAGTGATAGGGAGTGAAGTGATAGAACATGTTGACCACTTCACCTAATTGGGAAGTTGTATCACCACCAACGGACTGATTGGCGATGAAATCTCAGCACGGATCCAAAAAGCTCGAGCTGCTTTCGCTGACTTACACCACCTCTGGTGTAGGCGTGACATTAGGCTATCAACCAAGGGACGTGTGTACTGCTCAGAAGTTCGCTCCGTCCTTCTCTATGGCTCTGAAACATGGCTAATACGCGTTGAAGACATGAAAAGGTCGACTGCTTTCGATCATAGATGTCTGTGATCTCTGTCTCACGTTAGGTGGTATAATAAGGTAAGTAATGTTGACGTTAGGCGTAGTGTTGGGCAAACAGGGAAAATCAATCGACGAGGCTATAAAGTTACATAGATTGAGATGGCTAGGTCACGTGCTGCGCATGCCTAACCATCGCCTCCCCCGACGGGCATTACTAGCTGATATAGGTGCAGGTTGGAAAAGGGTAAGTGGTGGCCAGACGAAAACATGGCCTCATCAATCCATGAAATCCTTGACAGTTAAACTGAGTAAGGTAGGGAGATGCAGGCTTCCGGGTTGGGGCACTCGGGATTCTAAGAATCAATGGCTGGAGACAATAGGTGACATGGCTCAAAGTGATCGTTGTCAATGGCCAGCGCAGATGTATTCAGTCTCTGTAATCTTTCATATTCCTTTCTACCATTACCTATTCCGTTTCGCTCTTATACTTGTCAGACTGTATTGATTCTCTTCACTCATCTTCTTGTCTACCTCTGTGTGCTATTTGGAACGTGGCAACTCGAAGTGCTGCACTTCGGTGCTTAGTTCTATGTTGAATCCAGACAGAGAGACAGACAGACATAGGATTCTGAATAAAGAAGTCATTCGGATGTCATGTAAACCTACAAACTCAACAGGCTGAAAGCCCCCTACTAAGCCAATTACACAAAATAATTTCATTTATAAAAAATCGAATACCTTGCAATAACCGTGAGATCAACTACACATAAATCAAACAAATAGATCGGGGTAGTCAAATTATCGGAACATAAGGATCTAGCCAAGTGTAGAATGACTAACCCGACGAAGATGATTATGTCCAGAGAAAAACTCAGCGATTGCACTGCATGCATTAACATACACTTATTCAGTAAGGTGCAGAGAGAGGTTGATCAATGAAACTTTCTCCATCGAATCCACCCCTTACATGCGTATACAAGGAATGACTCAATGCCGATACCAAAGTTTTATTTATTTAAACGCATAAAAAACTTGGTTTAATATGGCACCAAGAAAGATGCGCCACACAATAATAATAAAACAACATAGATCAAAAAAAGGAAGGAAGGAAAAGAAAAAATATATATAAGTAGAGAACGGACAAAGAACTTCATCTGGAAGGAAAACAGTCATGCTTAACAAGTTCAAACAGTGTTCGTTAGCTATCATCGGGAAGGGAAGAAAGAAGGAAATCGCAACACATTCGCCACTGATTACGATTCTTGGCCATATCCGATAACGTTTCGAGCCATCGATTTGAGCTATCTCTCAGAATTGAGTGCAGCGACTTTGTTGGTTTGTGTACGACGTCAATTCCTGAAGGTTTGAAGAGTCTTGTAGTGATTTCTGAGATATCTTTTATATATGGTAAGGCAATTTTCTTTGTGCTTTCCTTGGTGGTTTTTGCTTTGGTAGGTTGGCTTGGGGGTATATGTCTCTTGATGAAATTCCGTGGATATCCATTCTTTTGGAAGACGTCCATGAGATACTTTTCTTCAATTTTCCTCAAGGTGGGAGTGCTGCAGTGAGTCCTTGCTCTCTTGAATAGTGTTTGTATGCAATTCCTTTTGTGTGTTATTGGGTTGTTGCTGTTGCAAACTAACCATCCAGCTCAGAGAACAAAACCACATCAAAATCATCCACCTGAGCTACAAATCTTCTCTATCATACAGGCATCTATGATCGAAGGCAGCTGTTGATGAAAGTCTGTAGTTTTTTCAAAGTGCCCTTAGTGACTCGGCGCCAAGATTCTGATCCATATAGTAGCACTGAAATAGTGGACAGAAGTGTGAGTGAGGGAAATAGAATAGTAGTCATATGGAAGAACGATAATAGAGGAGTTTTATTGGATATGACTGGTAAATCACTGTTATGTACTC